CCCCAAAACCCCAAAACCCCAAAACCCCAAAACCCCAAAGAGGGTTTATAAACATGAAACAAGATTATATTAAATGGCATTCATTAGATTTTGCTTAATAATCCTAGGCTTGTTTTTAGTACTCACGCTCTTGAGTGTGCCACCTGGTGTGGCTGGAATAATCCTATTATCCACAGAAATTCCTGGTTTGAAGCTGAAAAATTGGATTTGCACTCCCTCTGGGAGATTTGGATTGTCAGGACATTCTCTTAAGTCTTCCTCCTTTATATTAACCATTGAGTCAGAGCAGTCGAAAAGTGGTTTCTTTGCTATTTGGTTCGTCTCAGGTGTCTGGCCGCTTTCTTTCATTTCTAAATTCTTGTGATTCTCACTTAATATTTTGTCTAGAATTCCTCCAGGCTTTTTCTGGTCAACAGGTTCCTTATCTCACTCCATAGGAGCTGCTTGATTCATTCCAGAAGCATTCTGACTCTTTTCGGACGATTGTTTTTGTCTGAGATCAACAGGAGTCGGTCCAAAAGCTGCGATTGGGAATTTCATGGTATCTTGGTGATTTTTCCCTTTCCTATCTCTTTGCATTAAATCGAACTTTTTCAAGGTATCAATTTCTGTTTTTGGTTCTTCCTTCTTCTCTTCTTCTTGTTTCAGGACTTTGGCTCCGAAAAGCTTATTGACATCCATCCTTTTAGGTTGGCCATCAAATCCATCTTTTAGCATTGGTGTTGCAGGCATCATCTTTGGTGTCAATCCAGTAGGGTTCCAAGGACTCTCACAAGTGTCCTTCAGCTTCCTTCCTGCCATCACAGGTGTAGTAGTCTGGAGACCAGTTGTAGATGCATCTCCGGGAGCTTGAACTGCATTTTCTTGTTCATCAAACTCTTTCCATCCTTCAGCAACATCTCCGAGGACCTCACTCCCTCCTTCAACTTGGAACCATTCATGCTGGAGGCACTCTTGAGCGGATAACCTCAGCTCTGGATCCTTCTGGATCATGGACTTTACCAAGTTTTGTCCAGGCTCAGAGATTTTGTCCCAAAACCTCTTTGGATAGCTTGGTTCTCCCTTCTTATTCTTCTCAAATATTTGTTTGTAATCAGTACCAGGAAAAGCAGGACGCCCGGTGAGGAGAATATATAGAATAACTCCTATTGAGAATATGTCTGCCTTGCAGTCATAGCCTGGCGGAGGGTCTTGCAGTAACTCACAGGAGACGTATCCTGGCGATCCACAAGCAAGCTCGAGCTTTTTCCCCTCTGGGACAAAAGACGCCAGCCCAAAATCAGCAATTTTAACGTCATAGTCATCATCTGGACTGGCTAAGATCAGATTTTCTGGCTTAAGATCTCTATGAACTATACGTCTTTCATGAAGATAAGCCATTGCGTCAAGAATATTTCTCATGATCTTTATGGCGTCTGCTTCAGTATAGGTTCCCTTGTTCCTAATTCTATTAAATAATTCACCACCTTCCAAAACTTCCATGACCAAGTGAACATGCTTATCTGCTTCATGAACCTCATAGAGCTTGATGATATTAGGATGGTCACAAGTTCGCATGACTTCAATTTCATTAAGCAGAGGGTTGTCATTACTCCCTCTCTTAGACTCCATGATCTTTCTTTTCTCAAGAGATTTAACTGCAAAAATTTTCTTGTCACTAATACGCTCATACTTATAAACAGTTGCAAAGTTTCCTTTTCCAATTTTATTTAGCCTCTTGTACTTCTGGGTTAGGTCAAGAAGGACACAGAACCTGATTAAGTTCTGGTACCACTGATCTATATCAATCTCTTGGAGACTGTAAAAGTCCTGGTTTTCCTTCCTACCAATGATGTTAATACCGTAGAAGTATTCGCCTTGCTGATTCTTGAACTTTCCTTTATTAATCCGACAATTCTTGATATCCATCGCTCCTTTGTAATTAGTCGAATCCTTATTTTTAAACTGAATCATTTTACCCTTGTCAGTCAGCCGATAATAGTAAACTATGATTAGTTAAAACTCCCTTAAGCTTAAAGTTGTATGAATGTGCTCTAAAATAATAGCAAATAATGAAAAAGCTGACTGTGTTGGTGGAGAAACAACATTCTTGTAGGAACCACTATCGAATTTAGACTATTAGACCTCCATTTCGAATTTAGGCTTACTCTTTTGGAACTCTTCCTTCTTCTTTTTCTTTTTAATCAGAGGCCCTTCGAAGATCACCTTTCCGAAATCATCTATTGACTTAATTATCCTCATCTTTAATGAAATTAAGTGGGTTGTTTATAATATCCTCTTCCTTATCGAATATTTTTGAGAACTTATTGTTAGGCTTCATTATGAGAAAATAATATTATATTCCTAATACCTCAGTCGACAAGTGGGGTTTTGGGGTTTTGGGGTTTTGGGGTTTTGGGG